ATAGGAACCAAACAAGACGATATAAACAGCCTCAATATTATCAAAACGTGGATTAAATATTGTATAAAAACAAAAAGATATAAACTCTTTGAACTGTATGTTGCTGTAGTTGTTATAATTTCAGAAGCGAGAAACCACACACTTCTTGCGGTGTATATTAAAATAAATGAAATTTTTCGCATGTTACCGTTCGTGCTCCGCAGTAAACTTGCAAAACGTGCCACTAACTTTTTTTTAATTTATTTTCATTAATAAATAACCACACAATTTAAGTGTGTTTCATACAAAATGATAATAAAAAATTGAGAAACTTTGGAAACATATTTCTCATATATACGTCAAAGATGTAGAAACTGTTTATATAAACACACAAACCTTCAAAAAAAAAACTTTATACGAACTTTCCGAATAAACTAGCTTCAAATATAGCCTCAAATATCCCGTGATGTCTTGTAATTTATTCATCCTTTTTTCTTTATTATACAGTCTTATAATTACATTAAGTTATTTTTTTCTTAATATTCCTTAAAATTATCCTTTATTAAGACATTAAAATAAGAAAGAGAAATATATTATTTAAAAAATCACAAAATGTATCCTATATATGTTTATATTAAAACTGTTATAATTCAATATATTGCTCCAACAACTACTCAAGAATCTTAACCTGATCCTCGCAAATCCGCGATCGGGGTCGACAAATACCGATAGTCTCGGCGATTTCGACTTGATCTATCGCAAGTCGCAACCGCCTGCTCAGCCGCGGTCAGTTTCGCCCGAAGGAACGAGTTGTCCCTCCGGGCACGGAGAGAAAGGCCCACCACCCCGTCGCTCCCTTTTCCCTGGCTTACAAGCGGGGAAAAGCCCGTGGGGGTTGCGGACGCCATTCAACCGTAACAAAAGGCAATCACCATAGAAGTGGCGGCACTGGAACTAGCAGCGGTCATAAGTTATCGAAATCACGTCGATATTTCGCGGAGAGTTTCGCGAAACGAACTGTACTGTTGGTGCGCTGGGAGGTGAATAAAAGTGTGCGCGAAGTGCGATATAAATTGTACTGATTAAAATGTAACAACCGAGGGACAGCAGTTATTTTCAGAACATATGGCTTTAATAGCTCGATTAACGATGAAAACTTAGTTAAACAATAACCAATGATGACGATTAAATTTTAATAATTCAGTGTACTAACATGTAATCATTGGCTAATTGTAATATATTATATCAGTAAAACGATTTTAAATAATGATGACAGATTAATTGTGATTTAATTAGTAATAACAACTGAAATCAATCAGATAAGTACGGTAATAATAATTAATTGGATTACAGTTGTCAATCCAATAAGCATTAATGGATATTAAAAACTTGTTTTTTAAACAATTTTTTTAAGCTTAGAATATTTACCTTATTGTATGTGGAATAGCCCCTTAACGTTCAATAATATTTTTAAAAGAAGATGTTTGCCCACAGAGACGTTTCGTTTATTCGGTTTTACTCAAAACAAGAGTTGTGGATCCATTTTAGATATATAGTGTCCGCTCAATTGTTTATCAAGTATCACACCAACTACGGTAGCGCGGCAATCAGTTGAGAATCTCTCGATATAATCCCGATTTTGCCAGAAAAAGCGATATAGGTTGTTTGAATTTTTACGCAAATCCGTCAAATCCGCATCAATGTAAAATTTCGAACAAATAAAAGATAACGTACTAGCTACGCATTTGCGCTGTATACGAATAAATACGTACAACAACGGAAATGTCCGTCGATAAAATTATAAAAAAATGCATCATCTGAACGATTTTACACGAAGGAATGGAAGGGGTGTACAACCATCGTCAATCTCTGCACGTTCGTTCGCATTCAATTGAATGCTCGAATATATCGAGTGTTCGTCGAATGTCCGCTCGAAAATACACGAAATTACTTGAAAAGTTTTTCAACTAATTGTCTCTTGTTGTAGTACATATTTTCAGAAAGTTTTTCGTAAAATTACATTGTTCACGTAACAGTACTTTAAATATGATAAGAATCATTTCATATTTGACTTTAAATATATATATTAGTTACTGTTTCATCTGATACTTAAACGGGTATTTCTTCAACTTTTAACAGACGTTATTATTAAATACGCTAAATATCGACAAAATTATTGTTTTTTTTTATAGAACTTGTAATTTAAAAATGTAATTTATTTACAACAAATTTAAATAATAAATTTTATCTCATTTCTCTCTCTCTCTCTCTCTCTCTCTCTCTCTCCTTTAGAATTTTTGTTATAATCTTTTTTACAATACATTTTATGAAAGGCAACTTGGCAAAATTAGTATTAAAAAGTAAATAATGGTAGCTTTGTTAATAAAACGTTTTAATTGTGTTATATAAAAATATAATATTTGTTAATATTAAATGGTAAATATATTACATGTACCTAATAGTACTTCATTTATTAAAGGTTCAAGAAATTCCTAACTGATCTTAGCCTTTGAAACAACCTGTACAGCAATGTAATTCAAACGCTTGGTTAAAAATTTCACAAATCCGTGAATTTCCGCCCCTTTCTGCATGAAATCTCTGCACGAAGACGGCATACCGTCATTATCCGAACGCGAAACATTGCAACACGCCGAGGGAAAACAGCGAGAGGTTGGCTCGCTACATCGATCGGGGTTAATATCAGGGGAGAAGAAGGGAAGTGAGGTAGCTTACAAATTGCACTCTCAATTTTCGTGAGGAAGCGCCGGCTGGCTGGCGTTGTGAGCTGCAAAGCAGGTTTTATCAAGTTAAAGCGGAAACGAAGAAGGGAGCTCGAAAGACGAAGGAAGAAAAGATCAGAAAGGGGGAGGTAGGTCGAAGAGTGGACCATTAAATCGCAGCACCTGCAATTACATCGATCTAACCGTGTCTGATGATGTTGATTTAAGTTCAAGGAAGGGCGGCGAGTACATTTCGAGTCGTTTTCGAATTTCGTAAGAAAAATTAAACGTGATAAATCATACATTTTACAAGAAACAAGAATTTTTTGACCAATAATAAAAAAAAATTAAAATAGTAGAAGCATTTATATCTTCACGAATTAGTTCACGTCCGTATTTTGTAAATCTTTCTTAAAATAATAATTTAGAAAAATATTCTTTATAATAAAATTAATAAGTCGAGAATTCATATTTGTCTTATACTATTTCCTCATCCAATTACAAAAGAAATTCCTCTTAAGATTTAATAATTCAGACATTGATTAAAGTTTAAATTAATATTGGTAGAAATATTCGCGCGATCAGCAACGAAGAAGAAGAGAAAACATTGTTAGACTAGGAAAATGTACTTAGAAATATTATTATGCAAGTGCAGTTAAAGAGGTTTGGTAATTAGAATCAATATCTTATTGTATTGCACGTTGTACTACGTGCTGAAGCATTAGGTAGCTTTACGCGGATAAAATGTCTCGCCACAGTTGCCTGACAATTTTTCATCACGCTCGCATAATTAAACTTTCAATACGACGCGGTGGCGATCGCGTTTTTGCGATGGCACTTCGTGCCAGCAAAAAGATCGTTAGCGGATTCCGGAAGTGCTATATCGATAGTTTATCGATTCTAATTTACCGGAAAGTCGTTATCCGACAAAACCCGATCGTCTCCGATTTATTTATTAATTATGAAGAAACTTAGCAATCTACGTTATTTAATTCTAAATTGCAGTGGAATTAATACTTTTAAATTCGTGAAAATGTTGGTTTTAATTTTTTAAATTAAATTAATATCAATCTGTGTTATTAAATAAATATTTGAATGATAAATCAAATATATATGGTAAAGTATTAATTATCACAATGTATCTTTAAAATAAAGCAAGAAAAAAAGAAAAGTATGTAAAATATGTAGAAATGTATAAAGTGAAAAATTATTGACAAATAATTTGGATAAAATAAAAATAAAAATAATAAATATTTAAAACGTAAAATTTAAAACGTATATCAAATATTAAGATATAAAAAATATTTGTTAAAATAATCGAACGCCTTCAAACTTGGTGAATACATATATTGCAAAAATATCTACTGCTTTGATGAAGTGCAAAATAAGATTCGCGAAGCAGTTTCTTAATGGCTTCATGCGTTAAACTTCACGCCATCGTAGAAACTGAAGGATTTCGTCGTATAATTAGACAAGTTAATTACAGCGAAGTACGTAATAAGCACAGACTTTAAATTAACTCACGACAACCTATTCTCGGTATTTTGTAAGTCGGAACAAAGTCACGTTCAAAGTGCCTAAGTCTTTCCGTTTCATATTGTATTTGAGAATACTGATTACACTTTTACCTTTAATTGTTATAATAAGAAACAATACAATATAATCACATAAAAAAACATTATGTAATTTATATTGTGACCATTTCTAATATAATGCAAGAGAGAAAAGAGAGAATAGAGGGAGAGGAAAGAAGAGAGAATAAAATTTTATCATTTAAAATTCGTCTTGTAGTTATACGATGAAAAAAATTTTTTTAATCTAGAATGTGAAAGAGGAAATGCGTATATATGTGTGTATAAAATCATTAATAAATATAAGAAATGTTACGAGTAAAAAATATGATTTGAAATTCTAGCTATTAAATACTTACGGCGAAAAACAAAAAATTATAAATTAAAATTTCCCGTTAAATACAATAAAATAATTTTAAATGCGAAATTACATAATTTTTATAATGAAAATGAAGGATAAAAATGATTACAAGAAAAATAATTAAATGTGCGCGGCGGATCTGAGGGATAAATAAAATTCCAAATGTCCCGTTCCGTATCGTGCACGCACTTTGACGCATTAAGAACTCGTAAAAGCGTCCATTACTCAGATATTAAACATACTCTTGGCACTTACGCGTCTTCTTGCTTATGCACAAGCTAAATTTTGAACTAATTTTACCTTGGAGTCGCTCATTCTCGCGAATGGTTTTGCTTAATTGCGTCGTACGCTGCAGCATTACATACTTACCGTGATCTGAAACAAAAATACAAATCAATAATCATTGGAAATATTATTATATAGTAAGTAATATATGTGAATAAAATGTATAGGATATCCTGCATTATCTTTTAAGAACGTGTCCCTAAAATAATTTTGAGTAAAAAATGATAAAAGGAAAATGTCAAGGCTATAATATTTTTTAAATTAGTAACGATTAAGGTTCACTAATCACAGAACTGATATTTCGCGCGCTCAGGCATGATGGCATAATAAGTGATAAAGGTGCTATCGCCTTTAATAAAAAAATGTCATTAGCATAAAAATGTTAATATATTAATAATATAATACTAATAATATTAAAGTAATAAAAATAATTTATAAAAATAATAATTATAAAAATTATTTAAAATATCTACTAATTATAAAAATTATAATAATTTTAAAATAATTTTAAATTATAATTTTAAAATACTAATTACAATTAATTTTTGCAATATTAAAATATTAATTACAATACAATTTAAATGGGTAAATTTTTATTAAATATTTTATATCATATATATGTATATAGCTTATAATTATAATTTCTTAATAAAATAAATGTTATAATATTTTTTCATGATTATCATTTATAACAATAAGTATCTACTCTTCTAAGAGGAAATTTTTTTTAAAGTTTGCTGAAAAATTTGTAGTTGATAAAAAACACTTCGATATCATGTAAACTCGAGGAAATTTGAAATATTACATAAATTTAAAAAATGTTATTTTTTCATTGCATTGAAATATGAATCTACGAAGTAATATAACATAATATTGCAGTGACGAAAGTCTACTTTTTGAACATTTCTACAAAACGTTTAAAGACTATTAAAGATTAAAAGCAAAAATTAAATACAATCAATTAATGTATTTTTGTAAGAAAAATATCTATATAGAGCTAGTGTGATGAATCGCAAAAGATGAATGATTTGTTTTCAAATTAAATAACATAAAAAAAGTTTTTTTGATGTAAAATTCAATTCTTTTATGAATCATAATAACATCATTCATGTAACCAATTTGATTATTCCAATAATTTCTATTTTCTGCGCGTTGCATTATACGTTATTAAAAAAAAAATAAACGCGTAGGCACTTATATCACATGAGTGCACTTTCGATGCACTTGGCGTATCGATGCAGTTATGGAGTGAGTTTTTGCGCGGCTTTACAGCGCATTTTTAGTGAGAGGTCGGTGGGTTGTCTTGCATTACATGTCCATAAGTCGGCGGTGTATGGCGTTAGATAAAATAAAGTACGATGCACTTTAGTCGATGAAGACGAAACGCGAAAAACTCATGGTGATGCAACATACATACGCCGTATACATCGACGATCAACTTTTCTCGATATGATTCTCCATTTAATGATATTAAATTAGATATATGTATACAACATCGTTATTATTAGATAGTTAGATAACAGCATGATATTACATATAGTTATTTATCGCTACTTTCGCCATTTAAAATTTCATTTTCTTTAAAATTTTTCTTCAAAATAATGTCATTCCTTTTCATAAATTAGATTTAAAACAGTAAAAGATAGACATTTCTATTATTTTCCGTGAAATCATTTATTCTTTGTGATATTTACATTTCTTTTGTGGCGCCTGTATTGTCGTTCCGTTGCGAACTTGTTGAAAAAAATAATAAAATGTAGATATTAATTAAGATTAAAAAATATAATGTGTGTGTTGAAAGTATAATCACAGTAAATCATTCGCTGTTCAAAATTATATGAAATACGCAATCTATCACAAATGTCCGAAAATAATTTTAGAAAATAATTTCAAAACAAAACTGGAATTCGCAATTAAAAACAATAATCAATCTTTTCATTCCGAAAGATACAACATTAAAACAACAGTAAAATTACAATAATTTTAACTGCACTTTTTACATGAAAGCTGATACAAACATTTCTTGGGAAACAACGCACGGTATATCGCGCCCAGCTTTATTTTATACATGTTAGATATTGCAATTGTTCAAAACACACGCAGGTTTGTGTTGTTGCGTTAGTCAATTTTCGCTTCGGCAAACAGCCTTGTATTTATAAACGCGTTGATATTTTCGACCGTCATAAAGCAAACGTAATACCACGCGGGATTGCAAAGTGAGAGGAAAAGAGAGAGGAGATTCGCGATTTTGATAAAAAGGTTACGCGTCCATTTTAATCGAACCGCGAGATTGCAATCGCGGGTGCACCGAGCTATCGAGTTTCCCTCGAAATATTAAATGCAATGCGTATGCAATCGTATCGACGATTCGTGTTACAATTGCATTTATTTTTATGGCAGCGCAGAGACACCTCGACTCACAAACATTCTCGATTATACTCGTTAAATATAGAAGAATACAGGTAAACAGAGAGAGAGGGGGGGGAGAGACAGGTTTAAAAGGCCATCAAGAAACATCAAATACTTTAACTGAAATATTTTATTGTCTATTTTACCCTCTTTTCTCCGACTTATATTTGAACTTTATATTTTTTGTTTTCTTTTTTATTTTAAGTGATAAGACATTTGCTTCTCTTCTCAATCGTGTACCTAACTCTTTTTTATAAAATATTATTAATTCGCTAATATAACAAAAAATATGGAAAGAGTAAAAATTATCATCTTTTGCTATTTTTTCTTCATCTTCTTTTTTTTCGCGCCGATGATAGAAAGAATTTCTTCAATTTTTCTGCAGGTATTTGCAATTCAGAAACGGACGTCTTAGATCGCGTTTGGATAAGACGCATGCAAAAAGCAGTATCTATTTGCGTCAGAACGCTCTTACTAAACCGGAGGGCAAGCCTCAAGCAATCCTTCCACCCACATTTAGGCGATGGGATGGTTCTTCTTCACGCGCGTTTACAAGCGGATCGTATGCAAATCTCTAGCGGCTTAATTACGCGACACGCCTACTATATGAGGTCTCAGATCGCACGTAACGCGAACCAGAAGTCAATATATATGGTCGACGATAAGAAGAAACTCTCATTCATAGATCGCTGTTCGTTCTTTCACGTCAGATGCCGATCGAGAGGCGAAGACATCAAATAATTGTGAAATCGAATAACAAAGAAATCAGATAAATGTGGCAGTAAATTATATGCTTAAAATAATACATTTTCCTTAATATATTCCATTTGCTCGGATATTGATTTTCCAGAGAGTACCTTTAAAATCTCTTACCTAATCTCTTATCCTAAAAGACCTTTTTTTAATTATCATATAAATCGTCTAGCGATGCATAATTATCACCAATGTAATGTAACAATTACAAATAATATAGAAAATCATATTTTACATCATTACTATTGTTATTTACAAACCACCCGATATAACCACCTGAACGCTGTCACGTAATGAACGCTTCCAAAGCATCACATGCGAATCTTACATTTATCTTCCTCCTTCCAACCGACTAATCCGTGGCGGATGGCTCGTTCGTTCAAAGAGAATAGCGTTTAGGTTTCCATGGCGCAACAATATTTGCATTTTCATGACGTAACGCCAAAATGTAGTAGAGAAGGCGACGGTGAAACAGAATAACAAATCACGCCCGAATACTTGTTTTTAATCCTTTTATGCGGTAAACTATCAAGAAAATATGACGAAAATAGGATATTGTGAAGTTTAAATGCGATTTACATGTTTTTCCGATACGATTCTTAAAGTATACCATAAATAAATTATTGTGTAACTTAAATAATCTCGACCGCTATCCCAGACGAAATTTAAATTGTAAATATGAAATATGTATAAATAAAAAGAAATTCTCTTTACTTGTCTATATATTTTTATGCATTAGTTTTATGAGTTCATTTTAAAAAATGTATGAGCTTTTAATAATTAATAAAAAGTCTTCACTATGTGTCAATACATATGTTAGCTATTTGTTAGCAATATGTTAGCTATTTAAATTATATATGTCCAATATATTAATTATTTTAAAAATCAGATATTTTAACACTATATGCAATTTTTACTCTATTTAATATTAATTTAATATATTATATCCTTTTATTTTAATACATATATGTACATGTATGTATATTTATTAAAATTGATAAAACGGAGAATTTTATTTGGAGTTACCTACAAGTCTATTATAGTCATTAAATTCTACTTAATTCGATTCTCTTTAATTGTAAATTCAATATCTGAATGAGTTTAATATTTTTGAAAATATTAATTCATAAGTTAATTAATTCATAAAGTTTTAAGTACCTTACAGATATAATCTGTCAGAGTTACTTGAAGGTATTAATATTAATGGTATTAATATTAAGCTCTATAATAATCTACATAATAAAACGTCTAACATATAAGACTTTTAGTGTGCATTAAGTTCTGTGAGTGGAAAGCATTATTCGACTTAAATTGGTTAATATGACACATCGCAGACGTGGAGTTTAGCGCCATAATATCACATTAATTTCATTCAAACTTAGAGATATTGTAAATACTCGCAATTAGTTTCATTTTATGTATATATGTATGTTTCATGTGTCTTACTAAATTGCATACAATTAAAAAATTGAGATTTTTACTCATCTGAAATAAATGAACTTAAAAATGATTTTGTTTATATATAGACTATTAGAAGATGATAGAAGTAATTTTTTGACAAATCTAAAATTTTCCTCAAAAAAATAAATATTAGGAAAAAAGGCATCTATTTCCACTTACATTTTAAATTCTTAATTAAAGATTTTAGAATTGTAAAACTTAATTAAAACTGGACAGTCGAAAGTATCATCATTTTTATATATTTTCTAAAAGTTAATATGCAATTCTTTATCTCGTTGAGCCATAATTCAGATACTAATATTTTTTTCTTTGAACACTATAGTATTTTTTTTAATTAAAATAAAAATCATGATTTTAAGTATCATAATAAATAGCTGTACATCCTTATTTCGTATGAAATGTACTGAAATAAATCTATATAAAAATTATTTATATTCCGAGAAGCATTGACTTTATATCGTGGAGAT